CATATTTTTTCAAACTTTTTGTTCTACTGTGTAATGAGTTTTATACATAATTTTTACTTTGTCAAATCCACTCTTAAACTGCATCATGTTTTTTCTGGTTGATTTAAATGAAATATTAGAAGAATGCTGTTGGGATAGCAGTTTGGCAATTTGATCAAAGATCCTATGAGGGGTTAACTCTGCACTGCTATTATTTCTACATCAGTGGGTTGAGTTAATCGCAAACCCTAAAAAGACATTGGTTGCGAGACTGCTTGCAAGCGTCTCAACTCTGCTTGCTCAGTTTGCTGATAGAATGCAGGCTCTGACTAAGGGGGCTGTTAACAGAAAGCTGCACTCGTGAGGTGGAGCAGTTACGCCCGAGTGTGTACCGGATCCCTTGAGATCATGAAAAGACAGCTGGCTCCGTGAGTAAGCACTTGCTGCTAAAACATGTTCAAACAAAGTTGCCATTTCAGCAGACAATGTGTAAATTTGACCTGTTTAGTTGGATTTTTAACATAAATGGAACACACTTTTCTTGCCAGTGTGTCAAACTTTTTTTCTTTCTCATGTCGTCCGTATCAAACCTCTGCATGCATCTCACCAAAATCAACCCATAAGCTATATCAGTCTGACAATCAGGAACGCAGTCGTAGAAAATCAGGAGCTGGCTACTGACATCATACTACATTTATTTTGTCAGAATACACCAAAAAGTGATTTATTGTGTTTGGGGTGTGAAGTTTTAAGTACTTCTTTAAGTGTATTCTTCCATTGCTTTCTTTGTTTAAATTTGAATTAAGAAATATTTCTCCTATACACTGGAAGTGATAAGCTGTGGTAGAATTCTGGCTCAAAATACTAAGTGTAATGATTCCAACATGTGTCAAAAAGAAATCTGACTCCCTTTGATCTGCTAAGCTTGACATGTGTGTAGAAGTCAGGATAATTTTTGGTCAGAACATCCAGGCAAGGCAAGTCTTTTTGCCTTGCCTGGATGCAATTTAAAAAAGAAAAACCATTATTAATCATTAAAAAGAATGAGGGTGGTTGATCTACTGACAACAAGTCTGTAATGTATTTTGAGCTAAGCCTTTCAGTGAATTAAAGACTAAGATTTATTTTAAATTTTATTCTTGGAAGAAGAACTGGGCTGATGTGCTCCACTTTCTTAGCTTTAGTGAGGATGCAAGCAACAGCCTTCTGGATCAGCTGCAGCTGTCTGATCAATGTTTAGGCAGACATCTGAAGACACTGCAGCACTCATCAATTCTACCAAAGATGAAAGAAGCATGAATTAGTTTTTTGAAGGTCCTGCTGATACATCAGAAGTTAAATCCTAAGCCTCTCTCAGAAGAAATTAGCGGGTTAATTTCAGGTTTTATAACCACTGGTCAACCCTCTAAAAATCCACATTTGACTCCCTTAAAAAAAAAGCTGGGGCTAACTGCCTGCTGGCAAGCTGCTCGACCTCTGCCCCCCCATTGCTGCATGTCTGGTGACATTATCACACTGGGTTAGCATTGATGATATCACCAGTTCAACAGAAATCAGGAAAGTAAACAATGGAGAGAAACATGGAAGGGAGCAAGCGCGTAGTAGGTGTCTTTCCGAATCTCTCCTCAGTGCTTCAGTGCTTTATTGAATGTAAGCAGGGTTATATTGGCTTGTTAGATGTATTGATGTCGGCAGTCTAAGACATAACTGTGCACTAATCACAGTGTCTAATCAGCATCTTGATATGGCACACCTGTGAGATGGGATGGATTATCTCAGAAAAGGACAAATACTCACTATCACATATTTAGACTGGTTTATGACCAATATTTGAGGGATATGGTGATATTGTACAGTATATGTGAAAAAAGCTTGCGCCTTCTACCATTCATTCATCCTGTCCGCTGAACTGCTGCTAGTTTTCCTCACATGCCTGGAAGATGTCTAGTGCTAGATGATCTCGCTCTCGAAATGGAATTGAACTATTCAGATTAGCTAGCCGAATAAATATATGGGGTAGAGCATTAAACCAGTAAGCTTTGAGTACAAAAAAGGTGTGTCTCTCAATGATGCATATTTGTTTAAAACAAAAGCTTGTGAGGTTACTCACTACAGATGGAGAAACCCAAAAAATTGGTCAGATTACTGATTATTTTTTTTAATCATATTAAGTAAAAGTGAATAGTCGAATGCTTTAAACTACTCCTAAAGATAAAAAAAAAGATGCTCGAGTAAAATGTAACTAGTTACTACCCACCTTTGCCAATGAAGCCTATTGTTAACCCTGCACTGTAAAGCTTAAAGCTACAGTGTGTAATAATTACAGGGGTATACAGTCAGAAATGTAATATATTATACAAAACTATGTTATTTATCATCATCTACGAGCTCAGCCTCTTAACCTTAATATTTGCGTTGCCTTAGAATTCGTTATTTATAATTACATAGGAGCGGGTCTCGCAGCCATGGAGGCAGACATCTTTGCGCTACGGCAGCGCAGAGCCAACAAACTAGCGATTGCGAGATCGCTAAAACGTCACAACGATGTAGAAAAAAATTACGGGTATATTTATTATCTTAAGTCTGCATGAAATCTAAACCCTACACAGACTAATGAAATACTATCTGTAAAATTATCTATGTAAACAAACCTCATCACTTGAGAAGGTAGGTGATGCGGACGTCGTGGAAGACATTTTGTCCCGTAACGCTTGCCGCACTGTTGGGGGGGAGAAGTGGTGGAGGGGAGATGTTCATGGTACTGCAGTCTACAGTCTGACCGCTAGATGTCGCTAAAAGTTACACACTGTAGCTTTAAATGCATGAACATTATGACATGCATTTTACATGTGTTCAGGTCCCCTGAATAATAAGCACGGAGATTATGTTAAGTAAACTGAAATGACTTCTCCACCCATTTTTCCGGTTTATGCACGGAAACTATTGCACCTGCCTTTGCCTAGGTTGTCTTATTTCACTGAAACGTAACCTGGTTATTGTTGGGTTTTTTTTGCTTGCGTAAGTGTTCATAAATCAGACCTTCCTGAAACAATGGTACACCCACATGTGTACCTAGAGCATGAAACTGGTTAGCCAGTTTTTGTTTAACTGCTTTGAATTAGAAGAATAAAACAGATTGTAGTTTAGAAAGACCTTTGCTCTAAAAAGTAAAAAAAAATTCTTGATGTAAGTGAATTTTCTTTTGAGTCATTTCAAAACCCTTTTGCTACTAGAGAATGGAGCTACTGTATATGGAGAATATTGATGGTTTCAACTTGCTCGCTTTCCAGCTCATTACAATAAAAACAATTATTTCACTATTAACAGCTTTTTATAATGAATTTTATAAGGAATAAGCATGAGCTCTAGGTTAAATTTAGCAATTTCAAAATGACTATCACATCTTGTGCGGGCACACTTTACCTTTAAGATGACGTTTTAAAATTTAAATTTCATTACACTTATTACTATAGTTATGTAGTTTAACACCTTTTTTACTATATCATTCATTCTCATGTTGTAGGGCTATCTAGGCTGTTCCTCAGAATTCCAACTGACCAGTGATCAGAAGAGAAAGCAGCAGTTGATAATATAATAGGAGAATGGCTGCCAAAAATAACTTAAAATAGGGTTTAACGAGTTTGATGCTAAAATGACTCATGTCAAAAACATACAAGATTTTACCTGATATTCCCACATATTGCCTCCTTTCCACATTTACAATTATGGTGTTAAATAATCTGCTTCTTAAAAACTTTACAAACAATATGCTGCTATCACAAAACTAAATAAGATTGCAGCATATTTGTAAAAAAAAAAACAAAAAGAACAAAAGGTATTGGTAATAACTCCATTAAATAAGAAAAACAGCAAAAGAAATCAAACCAGTTTCAAATGCGTGTGTAGTGGAATGGCTGGGCTCAACGTCTGTCTTTGACATATGAAAGCCATTGTATGTTTGTAGACATACTTTACATGTTTTGGCTTGAGACATTTTAGAGTGGAAAAACCGGCATCCCAATTGAAGGATTGTTGTCTTTATACCAAAGTGTTAGACTAGTACAGAGTCTCAAAGTTTAAAGAGCAGATTGCAGGTTACAGCTTCACTTTAATTAGTGTTTAGAGAAATCCAGCTGAGGACGGGCGACTCATGGCTCTCTGCTGAGGTCCTGTCCAGTCAGCGGCCCAGCAGTCGACACTTCCATCTCCACACATCCTCTCTGCATCAGTTCATCAGATTTGATCCCACTAAGATATGCAGTTCTTGTTCGCAGTGCCAGACTCCAGCATACCATCGGGGGCAGCGCTGGATATCCCCACCGAAAAGCTTTCTGCTTCCTGTCACTACCCATCCATACCAGTGGCACGACCCCTACCATCAGCTCATTTGCACATTTTACCCTCAATTAAAACAGTCAGCCTACAGAAATATAATATGTTAAAGGTTAATTATGTATTTCCTGAAAAAAAAAAATGCATTAAAATCATTTCGGTTTTATTACCCATCTGTGCCCATCCTCTATGCTACTTTCGGGAGCTAACTTTTTCGGCTTTGTAGTTAAACATAAATCTAGTCTTTTGGAGTTTTATTTTTTCCTTTCGTGTTGAACTTATGGTATATAGTGTGTAATCTAAAGAAAGCAATAACAAAAAAAAAAAGATGAACATGGTTTAATCATATTTTGCTGGACTACTCTGAAC